AAATTATTATTTTTTAAATTTCTAATTGTAGCGTTGCAACTACAAATGATTTTTTATTAAAATTTTTTTTTTATTAAAGTGCTTTTTTACTAATAAGTATAATCCACTTAACAGTAAAGAAGCAAATATATAATTCTTTGATAGTTTGCAAACCTATACTTCTGTTATATATATATTTATATTTATATATACATCAAGGAATATATTAATTTAGAATAATTTTTTTGTTTATATTTAAAATATATTGAAAAAATTTCTCCTTAATTCTCTTCACTTTTTTGTCTTCAAAAAATTTTTGTTCGCAACCAAATCTCCTTAAATATTAGGAAAATATCTCCTTGAATCTCCTTAACATCTTTACATTTAGCCTCAGTTTTAATAGTGGGAACCCTGTTACTTCTTTTATCTTACCACTTATAGATCAATTTAAAAGTTAAAAAATGATAAAAAGTTGTTTAACCAAAATTGCTTACTGCTCACGTAAAATCGGTTATGTGCATACATAATGCGCTCTACACATAATGCTTTAAAACAATATATATATATATATATATTTATATATATATATATATATATATATATATATATATATATATATATATATATATTATACATATATATATATATATATTTATACATATATATATATATATATATATATATATATATATATATATATATATATATATATATATATATATATATATATATATGCATAATATATATATATATATATATATATATATATATATATATATATATATATATATATATATATATATATATATATATATATATATATATATATATATTATGCATGCAGTTTTTTGTCTTGTATGGCCACAAACAAGTTTTTAATTATAGACAACTTGGTCACAGCCATTTGCAAGTTTTATAATATTTATCATTACAGAAAAAGTTTCATAAACAGAAAAAGCAAAACTAAATAGGAAATAAAAACAAATTTAAATAGAAAAAAATAAAAAGAAATTAATAATTTAAATAATTTGTTAACTTTTTTAATTTTTGTTTCTTTAGAGTAGTTGTTATTTTCAGCAACAAAATTAGATAATGCGAAGCATAAAAAAACAATAGTTTCAAGTCTACAATTAAAAGAATGATTTTCCTTTATTTAACTTTTTTTTTTAATAAGAGGAAAGCGAAAATATAAAATGCAATATATTTGTAAAATATATTTGTATAATTTTAATGTAACAACAAGGGTTGAATTAAGCGTTCGCAAAATGCAAGATCTGGAAAAATATCTGGTCTAAAAAATTTCATTTTATGCAAAATCATGTTCTTTGTTTTCAAGGGGCAATTCAACTAAAATTTGTTAGCAAAAAAGTTATTAAAAATTAAAAAAAAAAACTTACAATTACAAAAATAATAACACTCTAGTAACAAACTGCATTATAAAAGTATTAACACTATAATAGTGTTATTACTTTTATAAAGCGCTTATAACTTTTATAATTCATTCTTTTATAATTCAATTAAAATCCGAAATTTTAATTGAAGTGGAAAAGCATCTAGAAAAATAGAGTAGTTATTCATATAATGTTTAAACTTTAAGGAACTTAAACAACTTGATAAAAACATAATGTATAAAAAGTTTAGCATTATGAAAATTGTTACTAATGTTCCGTAAAAATGCGAGTTCATTTTACAATCAACCAATAAAATATTTTTATTGGTTGGTTTTAAAATTAAAGCGCATTTTTATGGACTATTTTCATAACGTTAAACTTTTTATAAAGTGTGTCTTTATAAAGTTGTTTAAATGATTTGTAAAAGTTCCTGAAGTTTTTAATAATATCCACATTTTTTCTTGATGCTTTTTTACTTTGATTAAAGTTTGGAATTACTTATGTTGTTTGAGCAAAGAATGAACTTTAAAAGTTATAAGTGCTTTATTAAAGTAATAACACTATTACAGTTTTATTACTTTTATGATGTAGTTAGTGACTAGAGTGTTATCACTTTTGTAGTCGTAAGTTTAATGTTTAGTTTTCTATAACTTTCTCGCTAACAAGATTATAATATTTTGCTCCTTGAAAACAATTTGCTTATAATAATTTGCTCCTTGAAAAATTTTGAAGACCACATAATTTTTTTAGATATTTTGAAGCTTAAGAACTATGTATATATGTGTGTGCACCTTACTTATAGAATATACTGAAATATACCTTACTTATAGAATATACTGAATGGTATAAGAAGTCTGAATGTGATGAGATGTGTATCATTTATATTGAACATGAATTTCGTGTTGAATCTAAGTTTTTTTTTTTTTTTGTTTTTATGGCTTGATTTGTGGTTTAATAACTTGGTGGGATTTTTTAGTGGAATGGAAGTGTAGGCTGTATATACACAGGGTTAATCTAACCCTTAGCTTGTATATATCAACTTATTTCTCAGAGAAGCAGCCTTGTTTGTCAGGGTTTGCATTTTGGAGATATAAGGTTGAGAGAGAGTTATAACCACTATTAAGTAGCCTCGGGGAAATGTCGGGGAAAGTTGGGTAGCCCCGGACACATTTTCTGTTAGTACATGAGTACAACCAATTTTTCAAAGAAAAAATAGGTTGTACTCATGTACTAACAGAAAACAAAGTGTTAAAAGACTTATTTAAAAGTATAAACATTAATCTGTTGATTTGGAAACAAAAATATAATTATTGTGTACCTTAAAAAATATACAAAACATAAAAGGAGAAATGTTCAAAAAAAGAAATGTTTCAAAATTGGGCGATAGCCCCGGACACATAGTTTAACCATGATTTTATCTCTTTTTAAAAAATTTTTTTCTTATTTAAAAAATTTTTTTTTTCTAAAAACATTTGTTTTATGTTTATTTTGTTTTTTTAAATGAGAAGATAATTATTTATGGTTGAAACAATCAAAAAATAAATAATAACTATCAACATTTTTTTTTAACAGTTTGGCTTTAACAAACTCTTCGCATACTACTCATAAACTAATTAATCATTTCTAATCGACGTTCATTGTATGATCAATAAAGAAAAACTTTTCTTATAAAAAGCTCATAAAATTCTTATAAAAATTTCAAAACTAAAAAAATCATCTTTTTATATATTTGTTATATAAAATTTACTAAAAAATTCTTTAAAATATTTTTGATAATTTCTAAAAATTTTTGTTCACAGGCTTGATTATGGTTTATCCCGCAATGCATTTATAAACAGTTATAAGTGAACTAAGCACTTTTGTATATTAGCACTTTGTAACAGAACGAAAAAAAAAATTATTGATTTAAAACTATAAATAATTAAGCAAAATAGTTAAAAGAGCTGTTTATTTAAAGGTGGCATAAGTCACATTTTTAATTTGTTAAAATACAAACCTTTAAAAATCTCTGTTTAAAAACAAAGTGACTAAAGCCACTTTAAAAATAAACAGCTCAAATATAATACAAACATTTTAGAAGTAGCTTGAATTAAATTTATTTAAAAAGTTCATTTTTCTTTAACATAATTTGGAAATTTTAGCAGTAAAATAAAATTGTAAAATAGAGCATTTTAAAATTTTTAAAAAAGTTTGAATTAAATTTAATAAAATAAATTTATATTTATTAATATTTAATGATAAATTTTATTTAAATATAATAAAATAGAAATAAAATTAAATAACAAAAGAATTGCAAAAGTATTGAACTCATTCATTAAAAATAATTAACAAAGGAAATTTTAGAAAACTGGTGGCAATTTTCCTGAGTGATTTTTTATCCAAGTTATCCAATCAAAAACAGTTTTTCCGCAAAACCAAGAACAACTTTAAAAAAGTATTTTAGTATTACAACTTTATTAATACTTATTTGAGTCATTTAAATAAAAAAATCTTTGGTTTGTCAAAGTTTTTACTTACACTTCTTACATTTATGTGTATTGCTTTATTTTCATTTGTGACAAGAGGGAAGGAGTTAAGAATTGACAAATATAGGGTGACATGCTTTATGGATGACCCCCTTGATTGCATTTACAAGCAATTTGTTTTACTAAAACAAAAGTAAAAAAGGTTCTAACTGATTTTTTTTTTATATGAGGAGAATAGCAAATAAATCTTTTTTTTTTTTTTTAATGTCTAAACAAAAATATAAATATAATAAAAATAACTCTTATTTTATTTATGTATATTTATATGTCAACCAAAATAAGAATAGATAAACTAATAAAAAAATAATATTAATAATTTTAATTAATATTAAAAAAATTAAAGATTTTTTTTCTAAATTCTCCTTAATATAAAAAGTTTCTCCTTAATATAAAAAGTTTCAATGCAAATTACTTAATGACGTAATTCATTTTGTTAACAAAAAAGCGCCAGAACTTTAGAAAATGCATATAGTTTTAATTTACATTACACAAATTTAAAATAAAAATGTGCTTCAACTAATAATTCAAGTTTTGAATAACGATGTTATTCAAAACTTTAACATTTCAAGTTTTGAATAACATCGTTAATCAAAACTTTAAATGTAAAAACATAACATTTATTATTCTTTAGCATATATTATTAAAAATCTTAAGTTTTAAAACTAAATTTTAGAAAAAAACAAAACTTTATCATGTTTTTGTTTACATATGTTACATGAAAATCTCAAAAGTTCTTTCCTTATTATCTTGAAATATATATACTTTATAATGTATTAAATCTGACAAACAACAATTGAACATATTAGCTCTATTTTCACGCTAAATTAATTCTGATTATGCAAATAAATTCATGGTAACATTTTACAATGATTACATATAACATTTTTTTTCAATCATGCGACCATGAGAAAAACTGTAACTTTCGGAAGCATAAAAATGATATAAATAAATTAATTTTAATACTAAAGGTTTATTTTGAATAAACTTTCATCTGTCTACATTTCAAATTTGACGACTTTTATTTTTATCCATGGATTTGCCAATATTGTGTTCTTGAAAATAATGTATTACTTCTTTGTTTTGTTTTTTTTAATTATATTTTTAGGTATGCCAATTATTTCTACACAAAAAAAATTCATGATGAACATGTATACCGATGGTCAACTTAAATGTAGTGCTAAAGGATATCCAAATATTGATTTTACATGGGAGATACCAAAGAAACTTCCTTTGCTTGCACTTAAGATAAAGCCTTTGGAAAGTATTGATAGATACAAAGTATTACAAACTACTATTGATATAGATACTGATATAGCAACCTCAGTTTTGCAAATAAAAAATGTTCAGCGATCAGACATGAGTTTTTTTAAGTGTTGTGCGCAAAATGACATGGGAAAAACTGAAATAGCTATTGAAGTATCTGGTTTAAGTAAGTTAATTACATTCTAGTGTTTAATTTTTAAAGTTTTTAACTTTACCTCATAATGTTGAATGTTTTTATTGGTCATAGAAACCCCTGAGGCTCCTATTGTTGTAAAGTATACAGTTTCCAAACATAGTGTTACATTGTACTTGAAGCTTGGAGATGATGGAGGATCTCCGGTGAATCTAGTTACTATTCAATATAGAAAAAACTCATCTGAAACATGGAATGAAGCATCGAAAAAAAAGATTAAAAAAGAACTTACCTATTATACTATTAATAATCTTTCAGAAAATGTCAATTACACTTTCAGAGTGTCAGCTTCAAATGCTATTGGAACAAGCGAATATAATAAATTTTTTATAGCTATTGCAGATGGAAGTAATAAAATTTAAAAAATAAATAAATAAAGTTTTGTTTTGTTTTTGTACATTTTATTTTTTTTTATAGTTATTTTAATTTACTTTATAGTTCAAACTTCATCTATACATGGCAATATAGGTAGTGATATCAAATTGACTTTGATTGTTATCATTGGGGGAGTTATTGCTGGAGTATTCTGTATAGGAGTAATTATTGCTTTATTTATGAAAAAAACATGTCGAAAAGAATTTAACTTAACAAATAATGAGAGAGACAGTACAGTAAGTATATTTTCTTTTCCTCAACTCCAGGAGGTTACAAGTAGCTTTTGTTTAAAGAATAAAGTAATGCGATTAATAACACTTAATAACATTTATTAACACTTTATTTTTCATATAAACAGCCTTAATTATTTAATTTTTCTGGTACATATTTTTTCCCCTTAACAACGATATTAAATAATATATTCATTAATATAAATACTTTTTTTTAATTTTATTTAATAATTAGTTTATTATATATATATTTCATATTTTTATTAATCTATTTACATAATTATAACCATACTTGCTGACTAGACCTGTAAAAATATGTGTCTTAGTATGACTATTTTACATTAATTTTTTCTATACATTTTCCTTATATATATATACAAGCTGTCATGACCCGTAAAATACGGGTCTTGGACATCTATTCTACAGTAACCTTTTCTACACTTATTCTGTACTTCAAACTTTTTTAGTTGGTTGTAAAAAAATAACTATATACATATTGAAAAACTATACTGCTTTGTTTACTTTTTAAAGCTATGGAAAAAAAAAATTCTTTTGTATTTAATTTTTAAAAACTTTAAATGTTTCGTTAGACGTTGCGCGATTTGCTATTTATCAACGCATTGGATATTAGTACCAGTCTAAATAATATTTAGAATACCCGCTTGAAATGTGTTAATTAATTACCATTGGTATAAAAGATTTTAAAAAACATGAGACAACTTAAATATGTGAAATAATGGACTTACATGACCCATGACATTTTAATAACTGTGCTTCATTTTAAAAAATTTTAAAAAAGAGCAAAATATACAAATCTTTGTTTTGAGTTAACGATTAATGTTCAATACTTTATAACTTTAAAAAAAAAAAAAAATAGGGACAGAACATATAATTTTTTTCTTTAATAAGTTTCTATTAATTTTTTATCAGACCATCTGCATCTTGTTATAACTCTAGCAACGTTAATTTTAAAGAAAATTAAAGTTTGCATGTAAAAAAATTTTTCTATAAAAAAGAAAGTTGTCTCTTTAATGTGCAGTTTTAACTAATTATTAAGCACATTAATAACTTAAGTATCTCTATCATAACATATGCTTTTTAGAAGTTTTAAAAAACTCTCCCCCTTTGATTTGTTATAGTATATAATTTCTTTATATATGTTAAGCATATATCTATAGGCCTTTAAAAAAATTTTATTCAAGAAAATTGGAAAAAATAAGTGTGTAAACGAAAAGATTTAAACCCATGCGAAGCTCTTTAACTACTTTGGCATGCTATAATATTATCTTTTAACACTGTTTAATAAACAAAAGACTTATTAATTATTTATTTATAACAGCATATAAATGCTATAAATCAAAATTAAGGAGATATAATCGCAATGAAATTTCAAGCAAAAGTAAATCTGTAAAATTTGATATAATTTTGTAAAATTCACATAACTCGAAGATTACATGTTAGATATTTACATAGACTTTCGTTCACACAGATAAAATACGAATCATTACAGATTGAGGTTTCAAAAAAATGCCTAATAGCTTTGTAGTATTAAAGATATTTTTATTTACACATTTATTAACAAATTAACAAAACAACAATTTTTAATAGTTTTCAATTGTATGTCTATATTGAACAAACACGCCATCTGATTAATCTAAAAAAAGTAATCGGATTTAAAAAGGAAAAAAATAAACCATATGTATTAACTGGAAATCAATTTATTTATATATATTAGCAAAACAAAATAAAGAAAAGTATATATTTACAAAAAAAAATTTAACTAAGTTTGAATTATCAATTGGTTATTGGTTAGATTAACAAACTACAAAAATACTAATTATAGATGCATCATATTTTCCCCACCACTTTCCCTCATTATACTTATCTTTCTACAGTATCCACACTTTATATTAGAAAAAAAAACAAGGGGAAGGGGGTAGGCTTTTGCCCTAAAATTAAGCCCACGCCTTATGAGATGTGAGCTCTCTATTTGATCTGCAATATGCTAAAAAAGCATTGTAAGATATATCTAAATAAAAAAATTATCACAAGACAAAAGAAGTAAAATCATATTAACACTACAAACCAATTTACCTGTTGCTAATGTTTTTTCTAGAGCTGATAAAAATAGTCAGTGCAACCAAATTTTGTAATTTTACTAAAAAATAAAATTATTCTGACTTTGATTGCGACAAACTAATTTCTTTTTAAACTATTAGCTAATGATCAACAAAGTAAATAGAGTGCTCTGTTCTTTAAGAAAATTGAGCACTCTATTTGTACAATACACTAACATAATTTATATATATATATATATATATATATATATATATATATATATATATATATATATATATATATATATATATATATATATATATACATATATATATATATATATATACATATATATATATATATATATATATATATATATATATATATATATATATATATATATATATATATATATATAATATATACAACAATTTCATCTGTAGAAATGCAGCAATTTTAAGGGCAGCTTGGACAATACATTTATCTTCTCTTTTTGTAGTTTTTTGCTTTCTTCCTGATCCATAAAAATGAGCTGTTTTTCCTGTGTCCTTATACTTTTTCAGAAAATCAGTAAATATATATATATATATATATATATATATATATATATATATATATATATATATATATAAATTATGTTAGTGTATTCTACAAATAGTGTTCTTAAAGAATAGAAAAATAATAAATTAGTAAAAACGCTTTTCTAATTTTTGTCTTCAAAAAATTGTTTTTCCATCAGTAGGTTCATCAGGACATTTCCTGATGAAGCAGTGATCACATGAGGCAAGCTATTATGGTATCCTTTGACACATGAGGCAAGCTATTATGGTATCCTTCCTATTGAAGAACATCTTGATCTTGTATGTCTCAGCACACTTAAAGGAATTTTAAACAAACCTAACCATCCAATCACACTTAGTCTACATAAAACAATCACTCACATTCAGGGTTGGCAAAAACCCGGGTTTTTTTTAAAAAAACCGGCCCAGTGGGTTTTTTTGGATTTTTTTGGGTATTATTGGGTTTTTTTGGGTTTTTATTTTTTTTAATTTTGTTAAAAAAATTTTTTTGTTTGTTTAATAATATTGAAAACTAATACCAATTTTAATTATTTAAGTTTATTTAGAATATATTTTATAAGTTTTTAAAATTTATACACCTCAAATTATTTTCAATAAGTTTTTTTTAATTACAGTTTAAAAAAAATCTAAAAATGTGAAAAAATAAAAAAAAATCATGATAAACCTATATGCATTGATTTATTTTAGATTTAATAATAATATTTTTTATAATTAAAAATGCTGATGGGGAGAAAGTGGGAGAAAGAAAGCTGGAGAATGGGATGAAGTGACTGAAGTTGAAAACAGTACAAAGGTTTCTTGTGACTATTGTCATGCTTTGATTAGCAACAAGATAGAACGAGTAAAACCCCATTTAAAACATTGCCAAAAAAAGTTTTTACACAAGCATACGGAAAGAGAAAATCTCAATTTGTCAAAATATTTAAATAAAAATTGTGATGATGTACCAAATAATGATTTAAATATTAATGCATCTGCTCTAATAGATGGACCATCATCTCCAATAGCTGGACCATCAGCTCAAGTTGGAAAAAGTTCTTTGGCATCTGTAAGTTCTATAAGTTCGTTAACACCTTGTAAGAAGCAGCGGTTGATGTCATCGTACACAATATCAACTAATATGGAACAGAAAGAAAATATTGATATAAAAATAGAAAAATTTTTCTTCAGTGCAAATGTATCATTTAAAACTTCTGAAAATCAAGAATTTATAGACATGATCAGTTCATTCATCCAGGATACAAACCACCTAACCGTAAAATGCTAGGAGGAGAGCTCTTAGAAAAAGTTTATGAGGAAGTAAACAAAAAAATGATGGATCAACTTACCCAAGAAGAGAAAACAATAACAATTATGCAAGACGGATGGAGTAGTGTTACTTATGATCCCATTATTGATCACAGTGCATATGACGGACTTAATTCTAAAATTTTATGCATTACTGATTGTGCATCAAATAAAAAAACAGCCAAGTATTGTACCGAACTCTTTTGTAATGTCATTAAAGATCTTAAAGAAACATACAATAAAGAAGTATTTGCTGTGGTAACAGATAATGAAAATAAGATGAAAAAAATGAGGGATTCAATCAAAGAAACGTATCCAAATCTTTTAACATATGGGTGTTCTGCACATTATTTAAACCTTTTAGAAAAAGAAGTAACACACCCAGATGTCATCAAACATGTGGTTGAAGTGCAGAAATATTTTCGTAATACACATCAACCGCATGTAAACATTATTTTGTATTTGTGGGTTAAACTTAGAGTATAAAAAATATATAAAAGTTTAAAATTAACTATTCAATTTTTATTTTAAGGGATGGTTGCGTGAGAAAGGAGGGCATTTGCCTCAGTTACCAAACGATACTCGATGAAACTCCCAAATTGACTGTATAGAAACATACATAAAAAACTACCAAATTTATGTAGAAATAGTAGATAATCATGATATACCTATCAAAATCAGAAAAATTATTGAAAATCGAGCAATATTTAGAGAAGCTAACAGTCTTCAAATCCAACTCAAAATATTTGGTGTTGTTTTCGATCAAGTATTTAATTTTTTTATATTAAAGTTTTTTTACATAATGAGATTTTGTAGGTGTAAAGAAAAAGTAATAAAAATAAATATATTGAGTTGATTAAATAAATTAAAAATTTAATTTTTTTTAGATGCAAAGTGACAGCTGTCACCTATCCGAATGTGTTGAGTTGTGGCTCTCACTTTTGAATAACCCTGAACTAAGTCATTACCACACAGCTATCAAAAAGAGATGTAATGATGCTATGACATCTATCCATTATCTTGCGACCAATCCTCGCTTTTTGGGTAAAAATAAGTTTTGCTTAAAAAAAAAATTGTTTTGAAAAATTTCTGAATTTTTTTTTTATAGGCAAAAACCTGCCGATTGAAAATGAAGATGAGGCTGAAGAATGGCTTTACAATCATTATCCTGATTTTGTACCTGGGTTGATTTTGCTTAAATTAAAGGATTGTGATGCATTTTCTAAAAGGATGTTGAGTAATCAAATTATATCAACAATATTGTGCAGTGATTGGTGGTCTATCATTAACCAGAGAAATGAAAAATCAATTCAGAAAAAATTGCCTGAAGGATTTTGCAAATTTATTTCTAAACTTCAAACGTGCCCTGCTAGCTCAGGATTAATAGAAAGAATATTTTCTTCATTTGGTTTTATTTGGTCAAAAGTTAGAAATAAATTAGGATGTGAAAAGGCTAAAAAGCTTGTGCAAATATATAAACAGTATCAAAAATAGTTTATAGTTAATGTTTTTACATTAGAGTTTATGCTTTTACAATATAAAGTGAATATTACATTAAAGTAAAGTTGTACTTGCAAGAAGTATACCAAAAATGTAAATAGTCTTGTCAATGTGTATCTATTCTAAAAAATCTTATTGAATGAATCTAATTTGTTTGGTTTCCAAAATAAAATTGTGTTAAATAAAAATGTTGTGTTTAAATTGAAAATTTCCCTTTATAGCTAGCTCTATAATATGTTTATGTTTTCAGAAATGTTGGTTAATAATAGCATATATTATTAATATAATAGTTCATAAGTTTTAAGATATATTTCAAAAAAACCCAGATTGCCTGGGTTTTATTGGGTTTTTTTAGGCGGGTTTTATTGGGTTTTATTGGGCGGGTTTTATTGGGCGGGTTTTTTAATGCCAACCCTGCTCACATTCCACTTTTAAATTTAAGACCAGATCTGCAAACTCAACAATGTATTTAAACACATCTACAAAATTTATCTGCCACCTTCATAATGATGCAAATAAACCTGAAGCTAACTCTACTCTATACGTTACCTGAAATCATTCAATAGTATTTTCCAAAATATTTTATTATTAGTTTTTTTGTAAACTCAAATCAATATTTATATCAAGAAAAGATTATAGTTACAAAAAAAAGAAGATGTTATATGACGCTTAAAAAAAGAAATCACAAAATAAAAATATTTTAAAAACTTTTATATATCATCTTGCAAGATCAATATTTATGTAGACAATTTCTCATAACAACAATAACAAAAAATAATTACTGAATTTTTTTAAAAAACTAAAAAAGAAAAATTATTACTATAATTTTTTTGTTTTTTAAATTTTTATTATAATATACAATAAATTTTATTTTATATTTGCACCACTTTTTATATTTAAATTTGTTTGTTTGTTTGGTTGGTTATAATAGTAACAAAAAAAAAATTAAAAAATATGAAAAACTTTAAATGACATCTTATAAAAAGTTTATTTTTATATAATTAAAATAAAAACTTTTTATTTGGATATAACTATATTAATAATTTTTCTGCTTGAATTTACGCTTGAAGCAATATAACTTTTGCAATATCTTCTTTTATATATAATATAAGTTTGATTTTGCAAAAAATAATAGTTTAGAAAAATAATATTTTATTATAGTTACATCAGCTTTATATAATTAACAGATTGTGCAATATCAAATAAAGTAAAAACAGAAATTTCCTTTTAATTGAGAAAGAATTTTGAATAAAAACGTGAATTTAAAAAAATTAGAATTTTTTTTTCTTGATTTTTCTTCCACATTTTCAATTTTTTACAAAAAATTAAATTCCTTGCAAACATGTTCTAACTTAAAAAGCAAAGAAATTAATTTATGTTAAATGATAATATAAAATGTAATATTAAATTTAATAATTTAAAATTAAAAAAATTGAAACAAAATAGACATTCTACAATATGTACATTTTGAAAATCTAGAAAATAACACTTTTAGATTTGTTTTGCTTAATTAGTAACATTTCGTTCCAAAAATATTTTTGTTCTAAATAAGTCGAATTTTCCTATTCTTTGTTGAAGAACAACAAATATCTTTATCATAAAGAACTTTGATAATTTCTAATTTATCTGATATATACTAACTCTTCCTTATAACATATTAAATAATATATTTATTAACATAAACACCTATATTTAATAATAGTTTTGTAATTTTTATAGTTAATATAGCAAAGTATAGTAGAAATATATATATTAAAATGAACATAATAAAATTTTTTTTTTTACTTTTATCAGATTAGAATATCAATTAAGTTTTAGTTATTAAGATACATATTGTATAATGTATCCTGTGCAGTTTTAGTTATCAGCATACATATTGTATAATGTATTCTGTCCAGTTTTAGTTATCAGAATACATATTGTATAATGTTTTCTGTCCAGTTTTAGTTATCAGAATACATATTGTATAATGTATTCTGTCCAGTTTTGTTATCAGAATACATATTGTATAATGTATTCTGTCCGGTTTTGTTATCAGAATACATATTGTATAATGTATTTTGAGCAGTTTTAGTTATTAGGATACATATTGTATAATGTATTCTGTCCAGTTTTAACGTTACAATTATACTTGTTGTAAAAAATTTTTTAGATTCGTAGTATTCTTCCTACAACTGATATAAATTCTGTTGAACTAGAGTCAATCTTTTATGATTCTGATGAATGGGAATTTCCACGAGAAAAGCTTGTCATAACCTCAGTGTTGGGTGCAGGTGCCTTTGGTATAGTAATGTCAGGTATTGCTCGTGGAATAGAAGGTACCAATGATGAAGTTAAAGTAGCTGTTAAAATTGTTAGAGGTATTATCAATATATGCTATTAAAGTACTATTATATATATATATATATATATATATATATATATATATATATATATATATATATATATATATATATATATATATATATATATATATATATATATATATATATATATATATATATATATATATATATATTAGGGCATACCAAATAACAATATTTTTGTTCTATATGATAAAATAGCACTGTTTTTAAATTTTTTTTTTTGAATAAAAAACATTTAAAGGGTTCCCCCAAGACCCTTGAACATTATATGGGTCCCTAACATTAATAAGAAAAACGTTTTCCAAAAGTAAGTCTTGTTGAAAAGAGGCAAAATTATATAAAAAGAAGCAAAATTACCAAACAACATAGAAATAACGTCAGCAATTTTTTGCCAACTTCTAGTTAGGCAGTTATATCAAATGCCAACCCTAATTCTGACTGATATATATATATATATATATATATATATATATATATATATATATATATATATATATATATATATATATATATATATATATATAGATAGATAGATAGATAAATAGATAGATATAGATTTAAAAAGTATTTAAAATAGTTTTATTGTTTATGACACACCAGGGCTCAAAATAGGCACCAGACATCAGACATTGTCTGGCACTTGTCTGGCAAAAAACAACATCTATCAGTCATTTTGTCCAACCCATATTTTATGTGCATTTATTTTATAATCATTTTAGTTGTTTCAAAATTATATAAGAAATTCATTTTTAGAACTTTTTATTTTTTATACAAAACTGAACACACAGCTATGTTAATAAAATACATCTATAAATAATAAAAATTTTTTTTAGTTATTTCATTTTTAAAAAAAAGCTAAAGCATTACATTTTTCTAATCAATCCTAGCAAGTAATTTTGGCTTTTCTTTTTAACTTTACATCACTTGATGCTATATTTATGTCAGAAGAATAAAACCCAGCATTTCTGAAAATATTGGTGTTGCTCAAATCAATATATGAAGAGATTCAGGATTACTTTCTCTAAGTTTCACTTTTTTTTTAACCACTTTTTTTTTTAAGGTTTTTATATTCAGTTTATGAATATTTCATAATTCTTTTATATCATCTAAAAAAGAAGATTTAACTGAACAGTAGTTAAGTTGGGAATTAATTATTTCAAAGGTTACTTTATTGTTTAAAAGGATAATAAATAGATTTAATTTGTTTTGGTGTATATAATTTGGCATCTCCTTAATTTTAAATAGAGAGTGTATATAGTTTTTACTATACTTGGAGACATTAAAAAATGATTTTACTGCGTTACTTCCAAGTGTTTCGAGTCTTTTCATTGTTGACTATTTATTTTCACAGAGCTCAAGACTGGGAGTTAGTGTTGGAACTGCTAATGTATATTTTAAAACCACAAAAATCATTTGCAGTTTCATGTATAATTAGAAAATTTGTTTTTACAAAAAGCATGAAATTTTTATTTTTTATGTATAGCTATAGTAAACAGTAACATTTAAAATTTTATGAGCTTAGGAGATTAGTTTATATATTTAAACTATTTAACAGTAAAGCTTTACAAAAAAAATATAAAGTAAAGATCAGCCTTTATAATACACTTATAATCTAGCTTTAAAATAATGGGGTAAATTTTTAACATTTAATACTTTTATTTTCTCCAAAAAGGGTCACATAATTTAGGGAACCTATGAGAACCTATATTAAATACTTGTAAGTGTATTATATATACAACCTATTTAAACTATATACATTGCCCCTAACTTCCTCTTTTGGGTTTCTTCAACATTTGAAAATAACAACTTGTAGCATATGTTATTTGTTTTAAATCAACTTTTATTTCTCAAAAAATAAAAATACATGTTATTTTGTTTATTATTGAATTCAATACAAATTGCACTGTTTAGCTAACAATTTTTTTTGTTTTTTTGTTTAGTAATAATATAAAAATTGGTGACATTTACATACTTATACGACAAAATAAACTAGTTCCTAATGATATACCATTCTTTTCATCGAAATTAGCTGTTCTAGTTTCTGCAGATATTAAACTAGAGGATTCTGAGTGTAAAATTTTATAAAATTAAAATGTAAAAAATTGATAGCTGCAAACAATCATAATACTCATACAGAGAGAAATAATGAAAATTGGCTAGCTCAAGATTTTCAATACACCTGTGGTCCATTAAATGCTACATCATCAGTTAATGAAGTTGGGAAACCATGTTGCTCTTATGAAAAAGCTTGTAACAGAGCAAAAACAATAAACTAATGTTATTAATATTTTGTTTAGCCATTAATTACTTCATGCAACAACATTGAAACTAAGAAGTGAGTTTAAGTACAAAACTGGCACAAAAATTTCTGAAATTTAAATAATAAAACTCCATTAAACCTGGTTAGATATATTCACCTGATGAAGCTTTAGCATTAATTATTAATGGTGATATATCAAAATCAACATACTAACCTCTAAGAAATGGTGCTGAAAAAAACGGCTGCCACATATATCCTTTATATAATGGTATAAGATCTTCAAAAGCTAAATGCTATCCCAAGAACATTCAAATAGATGGCTATTCAGTACAAATATCGCTAAAATACTTTCTTAAAAAGAGAAATATCTTCTAAAACACTCTCATAAAAAGCTATGAAGTATACAAATTACTGTGCTAATTACAATGATAAGGAATTAAATAAACTGGCGCTTAGATGCAAGGCTGGTTGTGATGGTGCTACAGAAATAGTGTTTACAAACAGGTAAGTTAAAATAGTGACAAATGAAGAGTGCCTGTTGATTATTCACGTAGTACCTTTAGAATTCAGTAGACTTTATAATAATAAAAATGTTGTAATATTATTCATCCAGAATGTGCGGCCAATTGATTAAAAATAAAAAAATATTGAGATGATAAATTATCTACTGACTTATTCAAAACGTTGTGAACATATAATAATATCAATAATAAAGTTTAAAATCTATAGATTTCTTTATATTTTCTATATATTTCTATATATTACTCTATATATTTCAAATCTATTATATAATAATATCGATAATAGAGTTTCAAATCTAGTGATAAATTTTCATTTTTTATAAAGTAATTTCTGAAGTAAATTTTCATTATTCTAAATTGCGCATTTTTATTTTTAAAGTTTGTGGCATCAGTTTTTTTTTAAGTTTATTACACCAAAAGAGTTGATTATTCATTTCCACGATTTTAAGAAGTTATAGGATTTGAAATTAAAAAATTATAAATCTGCGTTTTTAAAGTTTTATAAAGATTTTAAATAATTTTTAGTATTAGCAACTATTTAACTAAAACTTATAATAAAAGCAAATAAAAAGTATATCTTAAATACAAAGCGATTATTTGGACATATAAAGGGTTTTAGTAAAAAGAAAAAACAATCAAATAATTTTGTCCACCATGTCTAATATCCGGTCCACTGTGCAATGTGACGAAATAAGAATTTCTTAATGACATAATTTATTTTGTTAACAAAAAAGTGCAAGAACTTTAGTAAGTAGTTTTAACCAATGTAAAAACGTAACATTTAATAATCTTTTGCTTATATTATTAAGAAACTAAAGTTTTTTACAGGGTTATTCATTTTTATATGCGTGTTTATTCATTCTTATATGCACATTTATCTATTCTTATATGCATGTTTATTCATTCTTATATGCGTGTTTATATGCAGCTTAACTACTCATAAAATCTCTAATATAACTTTACATTGTTGTGAAATCTTAATATTAACATTAATAAATTTGTAATGAGTTAACAGTTATCATACTCTCAATTCTCTACTCAATTTATTTTCATTGCATTCTTTGAAAGAAAGTTCTTTTTTACAGCTCTTTTTTTCTTTCTTGAAAAAATGAATGAAAAACAAGTTGTATGACACATTTTAATATTTAAAACTACTTTCCTAACTTAAGAAAAAAGTTTAAAAACTTTAATGTAAAACTATCTTTATTTAAAACTTTGTAGTGCTTTTTTTTTTTCTAATACTCAAGTTAGTTGTAAGTACTCAAGTTAGGAGTAATTTGTGCCTTTTTTTTACTAATCCTCAAGTTTTTTTTTCTTTACTCAAGTTAATTTTTTTCATCCACTGTTTTAATTTTTGATTTTGCCTCTTACTCATTAATAACAAAATCTTGATCATGATCGTAAAAATATTATTTTGAATATAATTAGGTCTTCATGAAGGTATTTAAAAATTACGCCAGCGTAATTACATGTTTTTTTAGTTTATTAAACTAATATTTTTTGGTTCTTAATTTTAGATAAAAAGGATGATATTTTTAAATAATATATTTGCAGTCTAATGATAATAAAACAACTATAAACAAACAAGTGAATTCATTAGTGTCAATGGAAAACGTTTAATAATTCCCCACAATATAAACAATAAATAGGCTTTTATATAATTATAGATGTATTTAAAATATAAATTAGGTTGTTGCTGCTGCTATTTATTTAAAAAATGGTTGCTGAGCCAGCGCTGGAATATGTAACCATGCATATGGTTGTAAAATGGAATTAAATTTAAATCTGTAGTATCCATAATAATATTTTTAAGTTTCCTGATTACCCCACCTGTATTTTGTGTTTGCCTAACAGAAAGACTCTAGTGGAATTTACAATTGTCCATCACAAGCACTGACACTTCCACATACGCATTCCTAATTGCTGGTGCCAACATTGTAGTAATAAAAGTACAAAATGAATCTGCATTCTAGCATCCAGTTTTTGTGTCATAAGCCAGCACTTCCATTGTTGAAACAGCACAAATTTAACTAACATTCTTGTCACAATTTGCAGACAACTGTAAAATTGCTGGCGTACCTCTTGGCAAATAACCATATGTGCTGCTAGTGTGCACATTAAATCAATAAAGTTTCATCCAAATAAATAATTTTTCATTTGAAATTCAGTTAATTTTGCTTGCAAATGCATAGCGTGCATCATTAACTTGTGTTGAGTTTTGTTCTTCAGGCACATGAACAACACGTTTTCTTGATAAATCCGAGCGTTTGAGTTTTCTTGAAATAGTAGACTGAGACATGTTGAAGCCTGCTGCAGAAAGATTTTCTTTTATTGCTCTTTACATACAAAGATTGTTTTCTTGCACGCATAATTCAATAATATTTTTTATTTAAGTGTTTATAGGTCTTTTACCTTGTTTTGTTATCAGAAAAAGACTTGAACGCAGTCATGTCGTCAAATTCTCCTCTGTTTAACTTAACAACAAAATTTTGAACTGTGCGCTTAGATAAATTAAAAGAAGTGGAAATGCTTGTTGTAGATTCATTCCTTTCAACTAAATGCTTATGCATGTGCTCTTTTGTAAAAATTTTTCTTGTTTTACAATTGGCGCTGCTATTTTCTCTTCCATCCATAAAAGATAAATGAATAATCTAGATAAATGTATTAGATAAATAATAACTTAATAATAATAAAATTAAACAAAGTTAATAAAATTAAACAAAGATCTAATACTGAATTAATTAAACCATCATCGAATGTAAAAAGTCTTTGTCTTTAGTATTTTTAACCTCGTTTACCAGGAAATAAGAAAAATAAGAAAAACTTTGAAAAAACAAATTGTTTTTTCAAAACAAATTGCTTAAATATGCTTTTTTTAAACACATATAAGAATAAATAAATACGCATATAAGAATGAATAAATACGCATATAGGAATGAATTAATTTATTCATTCTTATATGCATATTTATTCATTCTTATATGCGTTTAAAAAAAGCATATTTAATGCTTTTTTTAAATGCATTGTTGTTCGAATTGTTAAAAACAAATTGTTTTTTCAAAACAAATTGTTTTTTCAAAACAAATTGTTTTTTCAAAACAAATTGTTTTTTCAAAACAAATTGTTTTTTCAAAACAAATTGTTTTTTCAAAACAAATTGTTTTTTCAAAACAAATTGTTTTTTCAAAACAAATTGTTTTTTCAAAACAAATTGTTTTTTCAAAACAAATTGTTTTGAAAAACAAATTGTTTTTTCAAAACAAATTGTTTTTTCAAAACAAATTGTTTTTTCAAAACAAATTGTTTTGAAAAAACAAGTTGTTTTGAAAAAACAAGTTGTTTTGAAAAAACAAATTGTTTTGAAAAAACAAATTGTTTTGAAAAAACAAATTGTTTTGAAAAAACAAGTTGTTTTTTTAAAACAATTTGTTTTGAAAAAACAAATTGTTACTTCAAAACAAATTGTTTTTTCAAAATTTTTCTTATTTTTCTTATTTCCTGGTAAACAATGTTAAAAATACTTATGACAAATTTATTCATTCTTATATGTATATAATACGCATACAAGAATGAATAAATGTGCATATAAGAATGAATAAGTGCGCATATGAGTATAAATAAACACACATATAAAAATGAATAGATGCGCATATAAGAATGATTAACCCTGTAACTAAATTTTAGAAAAAACAAAACTTTATCATGTTTTTGTTAACTTATGTCACATGAAAGTTGCAGAAGTTCTTTCGTTATTTCCTGGAAATATATATTTTATAAAGTATAAAATTTGAGCAACATCAGTTTGAACATTGCTCCATTTTCACTCTAAATTAATTTGGATTATGCAAATAAACTCATAGTTAAAATAAATTTCACAATGATACTTTTTTTTATCATGCAACAATGAGAAAAACCCTAACTTCCAGAAGCATTAAAATAACTTAAATAAATTCATTTTAGTACTATTTTAAATAAACTTTAGTATGTCTACATCGATATTCATTTGCTAAAAATTCACAAATAAGAGAATAAAAGTTGACTACTTTTTCTTTTATGCCTTGGAATTGTCCATATTTTCCTTTACAAATTTTAGTTTTTTTTTTAATTTTTCTTTATTTTTTTAGTATTTTTTAAGATTAATTTTTAGAATTTTCATTTTATTTTAAGCGCTTTTAAAAACGCCTAGAGTTATCAAAACAAATTGCGTGGTCAAGTTGTAAAAACAAAATATTTTATGCTTGGTCAGGACTGGCGTTCGATCACACTTCTTTAATTTTTTTCAGACAAGTTTGTCAAACTTTATTGGACAAATTGTCCAGAACAAAAAAGTTCATTATTTCAAACCCAGAAATACTACTTTAATTGGCTTCGTTAACAAATATAAGGCGTTAACTGTATTAATATAATATTTTTTTGGAGTGCTTATTTAGATGACTTTTATTTTATTGGTGATAAAAAATCTTTTTTTCCATCAATGATTGAAGTTCTTATTTTATTATTATTTTAATAAAAGTACTTAATATATTATTTTCATAATAATATAAAAATATATAATAATTGCTTTATTTAACTAAGAACATTTAACTGTACTTATTCCCTTTTTTTTTTCTTTTTAAGTTTACTGCAAATTTAATTAATGAATGAATGATTTATAGATAAATTTATGTTTTTTATAATCAGATTTTTTAAAATATATATTTTTTGTAAAATCTCCTTTTATGCAACATTAGTAAATTTTAAAGTTTCATAAAACGACTATATAACAATTTATAACAATTATAAAACATATTAGTACTAACGATCAAGTTAAATCTGCGCATGAGAGTTAATGACTTTATTAACAACTTATTAACATTAGCAGTTTTTAAAATGATTTTAATGAGCAGAGATAAAAAATTATTTTATACCTTTGCTCATTAAAATAAATAAAATTATTATTTGTATATATATATTGCTTCAGCTGCTGGATTAAACAATTGGTTCAATAAATTCTGTTGGATTTAACAATTGCTTCAATTGTTGGATTAAACAATTGCTTCAAGTGTTAGATTAAACAATTTAAAAAAAAAACGTCTTAGATAAGCTTTATTTTCCTTTGTTCTTTAAAACAGTTAAAAACAATGGTTAAAATTTGTGTAGCTTTAAAAATTCTATTATTTAAAAGCATTTAGACATTAAATAATATTTTTTTGCCTTTACTCTAGCATTACTAGCCTTACTTTAGCATTACTAGCCTTACTCTAGCCTTACTATCTTTACTCTAGAATTACTAGCCTTACTCTAGCCTTACTCTAGCATTTACTCTAGCATTATTAGCCTTACTCTAGCATTACTAGCCTTACTCTAACATTACTAGCCTTACTCTAGCATTACTAGCTTTACTTTAGCATTACTAGCCTTACTCTAGCATTACTAGCCTTACTCTAGCATTACTAGCCTTACTCTATTATTACTAGCCTTACTCTAGCATTTACTCTAGCATTACTAGCCTTAACATTAGTTTTTTTCTTTTTTTCTCTTACTAAAGTTCTATTTTTAAACACATATGACTTCATATGTGTAAATTGTTATTTTTTAAACTTTTACTTTTGTTTTTAATTTGATTTTTGAAACATACTAAAGCATAATACTATGCACTAAGAGTTAAAAATATACAAAATATGTAAAATATATTTTTTTATGCATTTAATATAAAAGATATTTTTGATATATTGTTAAAAATATGTTGAATATATTTTTTATACTTTATAAAAGTCATTTAGATAACCTTTGAATTAATATACCACATTTAAATTTTAAATTTATAGATCATTCAAATGAAGCCGCAAAAAAAGACCTTCTTGCAGAATTAAATCTTCTTAAAATGATACCTGAGCATGAGAATGTAATACGTTTATTAGGTTGTTGTACTCGACAAGATCCTCTTTATGTTATTGTTGAGTTCTGTGCAAATGGCGACCTTCAAGGACTTTTAAGAAGCAGTCGTGGCATTTATGAACGATATTATAAGACATGCTATGGTGGCTCTGTTCCCAGTCTAACATCAAAAATGCTTTTAAAGTTTGCACTTCAAATATGCAAAGGAATGTCACAGTTATCCTCTATGAAAGTAAATTTTACAATTGAATAAAAATACATAACATCTATTTTTTCTTTAGTCTTCTTAATTTTATATATAATTTTTTTAAAAAATTTTACAATACTAAAATTATGTAGGTTATCCATAGAGATTTAGCAGCAAGAAATGTTTTGGTGGATGAAAATCTTATATGTAAAGTCAGCGATTTTGGTTTTGCAAGAGATATTTATGAGGATGATCACTATCTAAAAAGATCAGCTGTATGATTAGTGTACAATTCGTTTCCAAAGTTTTTCGTATAAGTAAAAGTATTAGAAAATCTTTGATTTTTTTTTCAGGGTGGTCGGTTTCCTATTAAATGGATGGCAATTGAGTCCCTTTTAGATAACATATCTACTACAAAAAGTGATGTGTGAGATTTTTTTTTTAATTCATAGTTTTTTAATTCATCTTTCGCACTTTAGTGGTAGAGTATAACTCTCTCTGTTATGTTTCCTCTATATAGCATTTACCCTATGTTGGTTTGTTATTTATAATACACCATCTTTGTTAGGACAATTTATGTTTATATTTTAGTCCATCTTAGTATTGAAATTTTTTTGTTATTTTTTAAGTTGGTCATTTGGAGTTGTTGTATGGGAACTAATTACTCTCGGAGCATCACCTTACCCTGGAATGAACTCATATGAGGTTGTTAGTTTTCTTCAAGATGGCAAAAGGATGGATAAACCAAAACACTGTTCAAATGAACTGTATGTATTTTTTTATGAGTTTATTTGCATAAATTATTTTTTTGCATGAAGTTTCAGATAATCTTCAGTGACTATATGATGTAGACAATATATTTTAACATATTTTTCTGCTAAATATTATAATAGTAAATATTATATTATAAATATTTCATTTATTGTTCCATATTTGTTTATCGATTCAAATTAACTAAACTAATTTTAGTTCAATTCATTTCAAATTATGAAAAGTTGTAATCTTATCAAAAAAAGTATATACAAAAATTTTATGTAAATAAAATTTTAAAAAATATTATGTAAAAGAATTTTATGAAAATAGAATTAAAACAAAATTGTAAAGTTGTTTATAATCAGTGGGGTGCAACTGATTATATCCATTAAGTGATTATAACCAATAACTGATTATAAGCCTTAAGCTTTTTATTTTAGAAGGGCTTTTTAGGAAAAAAAATTTATGCTTCCATAAATTGAATTTTTTAATTATCTCATTTAAAGTGTTATACTTTGAGCTCTAGTATATTTGTATTTTCCATAATAAAAAGCAAACATTATCTAGCGTTGCCTCAAAAATAAATGCAAAAAATGTCTATTATAACATCACATAAATCACTTTTTAATGATGTGGTGAGAGGGGAGAGGGGGCAAAAACGGTTAAAAGTTCACTGACATAATTTGTGGATGTACCAAAAGGGTTTCATTAGGATTGTGATGGTCAGATAGGAATTCAAGATCCTGAAATTATTTAATTGAAGGAAATTGTGATTGCTGATTCTTCAGTAAAAAATAAAAAGTTTGTGAAATTAATTTTTGTTTTAATTTTAATTGTTGCAGGTTTTGCCAACCACCAGATTATTTAATTGCCAGGCATAAAATTGTTATTTGTCCTTTTTATGCGGTCATAATATTTTGAAAATGATAAAAAATAATTTAAAAACTTACTCTAAAATCTAAAAAATTTTACTATTAAGTCTATCTTTAGAAAAAGAAAAAAAATTATCTATTATATTATTAAAAATTATGCTGTTTGAATAGATTAGATATAGTTCACCAAACAAAAGTAATTGCTGTTATGTTTTTTTAATCAAAATTCCAAGTTATAATGTAAAAAGTTTATTAAAAAGGTGATTTCTAAGCATAAAAGTTATTTTGAACAACGAAAAAAAAAAAAAAATCTGGTTCATACCATTAAATGTTTTGTAGGAGCGCAAATACCATTATACAATGTAGAGATCAAATACCACTAAACTATGTACAAGTGCAAATAACATTATAAATATTTTGTATACAGTATTGGAAAAAAACATTTGCAACAAACATCGAACAATGCTAAAAAGTGTTCTTAATTTTACATGTCTTAAAAACAAAACAAACTATACTACCACAGCAAACAGTTCAGGAGTCTAGAGTCATGACATGAGCAATCAGCTGACAGTTGACAGCACACGGGCAGAATTTTGTTGACAAGTGCCATTTTGCAGTGGACAAAACAAGTGCAACTTTTTTGGTTTGTTTCATTTTCTTAAGTCTGGTCCGTGTCAACGTCACGGAAGTTTTTTAATAATTAAAGGAAGTATCCAGAAATTTCCATAAGCATGCAGAAGCTTCCAGAAGTTTCCAGAAGAAGCATCTGGATGCATCCAGAAGTACCTAGAAACATTCAGAAGCATCGAAAAGAAGCATCTATAATCTTCCAGAACAGGTTCATACAGGTTCATTTTACTATATAAGAGACATGTAAACCGACATGTAATTCAGTCAGTATATGGAAGTTAATCAGTCAGTATTATCAAGACGGTTTATTGAAGTGAATTATATCAAAGTGTTTTATCAAAGAACATCTATACAAGAAGTGAAATACAACAAGTGTTTCATTACATCAATACAGTCCACATCCAACCAAGACGTTGTGTTTCACAGAGCATTATTGTATCATTACAAGGTAAATGTAACACGTTAAGCCTTGAGAAGCATGATTATTTATTTTTATTATTTTTATGACTTCAAGTGCAAAAATGGCTCCTGATAGTCTTGGATTGGAACTAAGAAAGAAAATTATTGGCGATTAGGTAAGTGGAATGTCACAAAAAAGTATTTGTAATAAAAATCGCGTGAAAAAATGGACCGTATCAAGACTATGTTCCAAATATTGTTCTACAGGGAAGTTGGCAGCAGATAACAAAGGTGGAAGACCGCGTTCCACCACTTCTAGAGAGGATTCTATGATCGTCAGATCCGTCAAGAAGGATCCCTGGATATCAGCAGTCGAGATACAAAAGCAATTAGAGCTGCCTGTATTGAACCAAACAATCAGGCGATGTGCTAATGAAGATATCCTGAAAGATGTTATGTTACCTCATGCTGAATGGAATATGCCAATAAAATGGATTTTTCAGAAAGACAACGATCCAAAACACACTGCAAAAGTAGTCAAGCAGTGGTTTCAAGACAACCAACTATTGGTGATGGATTAGCTGCCTCAATCTCCGGATCTCAACCCTATCGAGAACCTGTGGGAGATTGTCAACCGCAGAATTAATCGTGAAGGTATTCGTAATAAGGATCAACTGTTTCAACAAATCCAAAAGGCCTGGGCAGCGAATCCACAAAGTTTCATTGATCACCTGATCGAATCTATGCCTCGAAGATGCAAGGCTGCGATTGACAACAAAGGATTCGCCACGAAGTATTGATAGCGAAATACAGCTTGGTCAACATTTTATGGAGTTGCACTTGTTTTTTCCCGAAGGAAATCAACTTTTTATAATACTTTTGATTAATTTATTAATTTTCGGGTACAAATAATGAACTTTGTGATGAATAAAACTTGAAAAATGTTGTCTCTAAACAGTTACATAGTTATTTCTCTAAATTGAAAAAATGCAGCACTTTTATATAAAGAAACTAAATTAGCATTATTTGGTTGCACTTGTTTTGTCCTATACTGTAAATGCAAATACCATTTAAATTATCTAGTATAACTTTTCTTGTTTTACTTAAAATAGTAATGCGCAAGTTTTTTGGAATATATAGTGTTTATATATTTATTGGCTTTTAAATCAAGTAAAAGTGGTAAAATCCTGCAAAATTGGGTCTGTTTAGAAAAATTATTAGTTATGAAACATTTAATAAAGTTCACTTAAAATCATTATTTAAAATTTAATTCATTAAATTGGTATAGCCAAGTTTTTAAAGTAATGTAGAGAAATGTAAAATCTTTACTCACTGTTTTATCCGTGAGCAACCAGATATTTGGAATATTTTAAGCCCTCAGTTTAACTATTAAACCAACAAATAATGATTGAAATATTTCTAAATATTAACAGCAGACTTTTATTTTTTTTTTGTTTAAATTACTATAACTTGATTTTTTGAATGAATTACTATATGAATTACTATAACTTGATTTTTTGAATGAATTACTATATGAATTACTATAACTTGATTTTATATGTAATAGTCTAGTTAATTATTCACGGCAAAGAAAGTTTAAAAGGTTTGGATATGAATGAGAAATAAAAATATTTACACTTAGGTTATACTTGAAGAAATCTTCTCTTATAAAGATATTTTCTAGTTTTATTTTTTTTCTTCTATTTTTCAAATTTTGGTCTTCTAATTTTCAATTGGATTTATCATAAAGTACATTGCATTGAAGGTTTTTTTTTCAGAATTTTATATTTTCAGTTATAGACTTTCAAAACATGTGTCATGAAGTTATGAAGGCACCTATAGTATCGTAATAGACTTTCAAAACATGTGTCATGAAGTTATGAAGGTACCTATAGTATCGTAATAAAATTTTATCAAATTGAATACAGATACAGCTATTATTATAAAAACTTTAAAATTTAAAATAAAAACTAATCTTGACCAATATCACAAACAAATTTTTCTACTTCATAAAGAGAGGTAAGCGTCATGAAAGGGCATGTCACAAAAGAATAAAAAATGCTTAAAATAATTTTAGTTTCTTCCTTTTTAAACAAATCTAAACAAAATTTTAATGTTATTTATATTCATCATTGATTTAAAATTGCTTATGACTTATTCAAGACATTGTTTAAGTATAAGTCAAATAAATTAAGAGTCATACATTAAAACACCTTTAATGTTTCCAGTTTAGATGCTGTCACATATTCTATGACATATGCTGTCACATATTCTTCACACATTATTCACAGATATTCTACTTGAAGCTACTGTAATGTTTTTCAGTCAAATGGCTTAATAGAAGAAAACCAAATTTTACAAGATCAAATCATTCAGCTTTCAAGTTTTTAAACAATGCATTTTAATTTTCTTAGATACAACAACTCTATTTCCTATAACATAAGGTGGTTTATAGGTAATATAACCTGGTGTTTTGTTTTAAATAACAATATAATTTTCAGCATTGCTATTATTATCAATGAGTCTATTGTTTCTTTGTATTGTTTCTTTGTTACAAACTAGTTTAACTGTTGATTTCTTTGTTACAAACTGTATTTAAAAAAAAAGAAAAAAAGAATCAAGGAATGTATATAGGAATCTCAAGGAATTAAGTATTTATTTAAAAACATGTAATAAAAATGTAATGAATTGATGTAATATTGTAAGATAAATAGAATAAATTAGGTGTTATTTAAAAATGGTATATAAGAAATTGCCAAATGTATATGGTATGTAAATGTCAAATGTAAATGGTATATAAGAAACTGTCAAACTGTCAAAGAAAATATCAAAATTAAATAGAATGCTTTTTTCATAAAGAAATATATTTCCAATCAAAATGAACCTATTGTAGATTGTATTATATAAATACTTGTGTTGCACTGTTAAGAGTTACGTCAATATACAATAAAAGGTCAAAGTTAAATTATAAATAGTAAACAAAAATTAAAGTATAAGATATAAGATATATTTTATCTCTTTATTAAAAATAAAGAGATAAAATATATTAAAAATGGATATTAAAATAATTAATCTGCAATTATATAAAGATATAAAAGTATAAAATATTTAAAAAAATATAAAATAAATATAAAACATATATGTGTACATAAAGTATAAAAATAAAAGTATATTTTTGAAAAAAGTTAATAAATATGGTTTGTTGAGTGTAATATGTTATGTAAATTATGGTATGTTGAACGCTGTGAATAAATAATTCTTGTATTTAGCACAAACACTGCATTTTTATATTGTGAAAAGACTAATATGTCAAAAAAGTATACTTTTAATTAAATAAGTTATTAATAAACAGATATCTAATGTCACTAAACACTAAATATCATTTTTCTCAAAATGAGAAAAATGTGACGTCTGTGGTTTTACCCGTGTGGTTTACATATATATATATATATATACATGTATATATATATATATATATATATATATATATATATATATATATATATATATATATATATATATATATATATATATACATGTATATATATATATATATATATACATATATATATATATATATGTATATATATATGTATATATATATATATATATATATATATATATATATGTGTATATATATATATATATATATATATATATATATATATATATATATATATATATATATATATATATATATATATATATATATATATATATATATATATATATATATATATATATATATGTTTTGCTGTATATATTTATATGTATATCTTTTTATAAATATAATTTTTATTTATTTATTTTTATTACAATTTTCTTAATCACCCTCAGTAAATATGTTTACAAGGTAAAATAAAATCTAACAAGTACATTTTAAAATCAAGTGAGAATAAAAGAAGATAAAAATAAATAAAAAATTCATCTTGTAATGTTTTTTTCAAGAGTATTATTAAAATCTTCTTAACCAGCATTAAGTTTTTTATATTTAATATATGAATGTTACACAATTCCTTTATATCATCCAAAAAGGTGTGTTTAACTGAACAATGATTAAGCTAGGAATCAGTGATTTCAAAAGTTACTGTGTGGTTTAAAAGGCGGATAAATAGGTTAATTTTGTTTTGCTGTATGTAAGTTGACATTTCCTAAATTTCAAATAGAGAGTTTATAATTTTTACTATTCTTAGAGACATTAAAAAATGGTTTAACTGTATTCCTTCCACGTTTGTTAAGTTTTTTCACTGTTAAATCTTTATTTTCTGTGAAAATGACCGTGTGTTAGCAAAAAATTTATACAACGGATATTAAAACTTGGATGTGCATACCTTATTCTTGATGTTAATAATTTTTTTTTTTAAGTTATAAAATTGTTTTGGATTGCTGGAATCCTTCTCCTCTGAGTCGACCCTCATTTATGGAATTAGTTCTTAAATTTCAAAAGTTGGTTGATGAAAGCGAAACGAAGGTAAAAAGAATTTTAGATATGTAGTACCATACCATGAGAATACGAACCATACCATGAGAATATTTAATTTTTTTTTAGCCTTATTAAGTAATAACAAACAACTTTTTTTGTTTTTAGGAGTTTATTGATATGAATTTTTACCAGGATCATTTATATGTAAACTTTGATGCAACTGTTTCAACTTCAGCATCGTCTTCGTCATATATCGGAACTCCGCATAACTCTTTAGGAAGAAATCGAATAAACGTAATAAATACGACAGTTCGTCAATCTAGTAACCCAATGTATAACAGTACTTTACCAGGTAGTTCTCCTGTTGTACCTGAACGTGCCCGGTTTATTCCAGACTCAAACCCCTTACAAACCTCTCGGCGACCCTCTAATAATGAAAATAATATTGAAGACACTGAATTTTCGGAAAGAAGAGATACAGGGCGCTCTACTGTATCGCGCTTGAGTGAAACAACTTCGCTTCTACCTAAAGTCTAGCTAATTTGAGTATATTATAATAAACAGTTAAGGTTTATAAAAAAAAGATTCAGCTTGGTACAGAATGTGCTGTTAGTTACGATATGTAAAGATATTCAGCTAGTTACGGTAAATATATTATCCGCTAGTTACAACAGAAGTGAACCACTTTGGAAATACTCCTTAATAATTGTTTTTCTATGAAAAATATAACTTCAAAATATAACTTTGGTAATGATCTAGTTTAGATAAAAAATTTTAATACGCTTTCTTGTTTTGCGTTAAGAAACGCTAATGCTTCTACTCCATGTGAATTAGGTTTGCTTCCGAAGAAGATTTTGTTCCTTATGAATCTCCCTCTTTATTTTCGGTATATTCTTATTTTTGTAAAACTGAAAAGTTTTTTTTAATAAAAATATTTTTAAAATTCGTTGTATGAATATCATGAAATTTTTAATTTCAAATAAAGCAAATAAAAATTTTATTTTTTGATGGTAAAAGTAACTTTTTTACACTTTTGATTAAATAAAAAAACAAATAATCAATATAGATTACTGTAAAATCTTATATTTATTTTCTTTATACGGATCTTTAACCCAGTGGACACGGACGTAAAAAAGACGTCTTTTGAACGTTTTGGGCGACTTTTGAACGTTCATAAGACGTCTTTTTTTGGTTCGGTGCCCGCTGGGAAGCGATCCTTTTTTAAGTCATTTTAGCAATAAATTGTGTACGTTTTTTTAATTTAATTAACGCGAAATTTTTATATAATATAACAATGAAATTTAAAAGTAAAGAATAGTTTAACATATGTTGTAAAATATTGGTAAAAAGCTCTCTTTTTTTAGCTTAATCTACGGAATAGCTCATATACAAAATTTATATATAAAATACACTTGTTTGTTTAAATATTATATTTTTAAGTGACTATTTACTTATATTTTATAATTTGTTTCATAAGCATAGTTATAGAATAATCATTACGCTGCGGTGACTGAAAAATCAATAACTTTTTTTTGTAAATAAATTTTTAATAATATTAGATTATAATAGTTTTTTTATTTAAAAAGGAAAAAAAAATTTTTAATAAAATTTACTTTAAATTTTATAGTCGAAAAAAAATTAATATTCTAAGAACTATGCAAGTACAAGCAGTTTTTATTATTACTTTTACCTTCACTTAATGTTTGGATAATTAAAAGAATTATCCAAGTAATATATATTACCATATATCTTATCTATATATATAATATATATTATCCAAGTAATATATATTACCATATAAAAATTTTATAATAATGTTTTATTAGTAAAACTATTATGTTTGAAATCAAAATAATTTCATTTTTAAAATATAAATGATAAATTTTATCTACTTTTATTTTAAACGAAAGTGAATTTGATGACAAATCCCTCGGAACTACACAACTTGAAAATAATTTCTTTAATAAAAATACAAGTTTTAAAATTGTTAACAAAATTCAGTGTTTACGGCTATAGTAACAGGCCTTGACATCGTGCAGCAAAGTTGTTAACTGAAGGCCAAACTTTAATGCTGTATTTACATTTTTATCTTTTAACATTAGACGAATGTTTGTGTTCGCGCTTTTTCAATAAATCTTTTAAAATTAGTTTATGAATTAGACGCAAAAAAGCGCAACTTTAAAACATTAACGTTGTAAGGTTTAAGACGTTAACATTGTAATGTAATATTGTCAAATTAACAATAAACTAATGATTAAAATGCCTTTAAAATGCTGTGTACCTCTTTGCAAGTCGAACTATCACTCAACTACAACAAAAGTATCAATTTATAAATTCCTGACGAATCCAGAGGAGAAAAAAAGATGGAGTGGCGCTATCCCAAGAACTGGTTTTATTGTTTCAGACTATACAGCAGTATGCGACTGCATTAGCCAGATGATACACCTTTTGAAAGCAAAAACGGGAAGCAACGGCCTTTAAACCCACCATCTGTTTTTAAAAATATTCCGCCTAGTTGTTTACCCACACCACCAAGTAAAGTTAGAAAAACTGTAACTTCAAGCGGTTTTCGAAACATTTTACTAGATGAGTTAAATGATTTCCTAAAAGAAGACGAATTTATATTTGACGATATTCAATCTTTGTTAAGTGATAATAACGATGTTATTGTTTTGCAGCTTAATAAAAAAAGTTTACTTATACGATCAAAAATATTCAAACTTGGTGTTCTATGATTTATTTTAGAAATTTTCAATGATTATTTATTTGTAGCTTACCATAATTGCACAACTTGCAATATTTCATCTTTAACTGTAAACAAATTAAAGTTAATAAAAAATCAGCTCTATTTGAAGCAGTAAGATTTTTAAAAAATAAAGAAAGTTTGCATCAGTCAAATATTCTATTTAAGCGTCTTAATGCTATGAGAAAAGTTAATGTTGGTGAAGTTTTATATACTCCAGATATTATATGCAGAGCATATGAGTATTTTGCTATGCGACGAAGTTTATATGATTGTTTGTGTATTGACTACAAGTTGCCAAGTATATGGACTTTAACACGATTGGCTTCCAAAATAAGCTCAATAGAGGACCTAAATTTCGTAAATAGTACTTTTATGAACTTAGATCCATTGAAAAGAACTTCCATACTACTAATTGATGAGGTTTATGTTAAAGCTTCATTACTTTACCAAGGAGGTGCTTTGTTTGGTCAAGCAGTAAACTACCTTGAAAAGTTAGCTAAAACAATTGTATCATGTATGATTAAATGTCTTTTTGGAGGTCCAGTTACATGCAGAGCTCAACCTGTTGCAAATCTTTCTTCTGAATTTCAGTTTGCTCAATATCAACAAATTGTTGATACAATAAATAATATTGAAAATAGTAAGACACTGGCAATAATTACTCATAGTAACCGTGTAAATCAACGGTTTTTTAAAATGTTTAAAACAGTTGATAGTTGACCATGGTTAACAACATTAGGTATATATTTGTTGTATGATTATGTGCATCTCTTAAAATCTATAGGAAACAATTGGTTGACAAAAAAGACTGGCGAGCTTCAATTTTTTAACAATGGAGAACTAGCTTTGGCTAAATGGAGTGATTTAGAAACTTTATATAAAACTGAGTGCAATAGTCTTTTTAAACTCTCTAAACTTACACCTAAATCAGTTTATCCAAAACCAATAGAGAGACAATCTGTAAAGTTTTTTTAGTCCGTTTTTTGCAAAAAACAGTAGCTGCATTAAGAACGCATCCAGAGATTGAAAATAAAGCATTTGAAGGTAATGCTGTATTTATTGAAATTTTTTTTTTTTTGGAATGCTGTTAATGTCAAAGCATCTGGCGTCGGCATTCGGTTTAGAAATGAATTATGTGGATAAATCCACTTAGTTGGTGATCAACAGTTACAACTGCTAAGAGATATTACTGAACTGTCAAATTTTATGAAACCTACAGGTAAGCAATAAAAACAGCTTACGCTAGATACTAGCAATGCAATATTGAATGCATGTTATGGCTTAATTGATCTCGTAGAAACTTTATTGAGTTATGGAGCGAAATATGTCTTATTAGGTTTTCAATAGAACCACTTGAAAAAGCTTTTTCTAAGCTTCGACAGGGATCTAAAAGAACTTACTTTACAAACGTTAAATCTGTAATTGAAAAAATTATTATTCAACATTCTAAATTGATATTATAACTTGACATTCCTGTTGATGGTGACACACGTTTTAGAGATATTTTTACTGATTAAAAAGAACTGCAGGATAAAATACACGATTTGGAAAGCTAAATTAGTAAATCTACATTAGTGGCTATAGTTTACATAGCTGGAAAAGTGCAAAAAAGTGAAAAAAAATTTATGATGACACTACCAATTATTTTTATAAATATGGAAGTTATCTAAATATCCTAAACAGAGACGGATTTGAAATTCCTTTAAATACTCTTTTAAAATGGTCAATATTTTGCTTTTTATTTTATTTTTATTTTCAAGGTGCTACTGGCCCTTTATGCAGAACATTTTGTGATACTCAGTTTCTGTTCATTGCAGCTAAATATAAATTTAAAATCACAAAAAAACAATGCAGAATATATTCTAATATTTTGCTAAAGAATTACGCACTAATTACCACTCCTAGCAAAGAATCCAAAACGAAAATACTAAAGCTATCATAATTTATGTGAAAATTTATTATGCTATTTACTTGCTATGTTTTTTTATTTCCTCTTTAGCCTTTATGTCTCTTAACATGTTTGGGTTTGTAAATATTTACTCTGTTTAGATATATTGATAAAACTTTTTTTTGCATAAATCAATTTTTGTTGGTGTTTTTTATTGTTACCTTTTTTTTTAGTTATGTTTCTGTAAGTAAATAAAAAACAGTTGACTTTCTAATGTATAGTTATATACATTGTTATGGATCTGCTTATTATTGATACTATTAAATATTACAGTAATATTCTTAATGAAATTTGAAATACGAAAAATAAAATTATCTTATAACAACTTTTTGGTTTTCTTTTTATATTTCCTTTTTTATTAAAGATTTTTATTATAAACCAATAACTGCCATTACACCCTACCCAATATACATCCTACCCATTATAAAAACATATCAATATAAGTATAAGTGAATGTTTAATCGGTCTTCAGTTTTTACAGCGTTTTGCGCAATGTCAAGCCCTGTTATTATAGATGGCCGTGCTTTTTTACATTTGTCTGGACCATAAAGAAAAGTTTATTTTTACTTTCTGGACCGGTTCTTCAAAAAAAACTTTTATTATTTTATTATTTGGGTATTCAATTGCTCGGAAAGACTTGCAGTTTTAGTACTTCTGCACATTCCTTGCCAAAAAGGAATGATTAGCTGGTGATCTTAAATTAAATTTACTAAATTATGCTTCAAATAATATTCAATTACTCTTATCGAATATAAACCGATACTAACAATAAATAAATCAACGAAATTAACAAGGACCTCATCGTCATTACTTGATAATATAATTACAAACAATTTTCAAAATTTGCGGTTTAGGAACGATTATAATCAAATGTCAAAAATTGCCGTTTAGAAACGGGCATAATCAAAACTGATTTTAACAGATCACTTTCCAATATTTCTAATTACCGATAACATAACTATAAATAATCCCCCCTCGAACTCTACAACTTTAACGAGACAGATCGATGAAAACTCTCTGATGTATTTTAACTTATCTTATCAGAAAATATTGATTTAAATTTTATTTTACAATCCCATTAAGTAAATCATGCATATGAACTGTTTTTATCGCAATTCTGTAAACAGTTTGATTTTATAATTATTTTTTTGACATTTCCTGTCAAAAAAATAATTATAAAATCTAAGTCTCTTTTAAACCCCCTGGATAACCAACGGACTTATAAGAATCATTGAAGAAAAATCAAAAA